AAGAAAGGTGACGGTTGTTTGGAGAGTGAGTTTCAGTGAGTTGGCACAGATTTATTTGCAGATATTCAGCAGACATTTAGAAATACTGAAAATAGGACATAGGACGGGCCAGGACTGAGTTTTCCCATGTTTTAAAAATATCCTCAGTTCTAGGGTTTCATGTTCTTTTGTGATCACTGGTTGAATCACTTTGATTTTTTCTTATCTACTCTAGCATTACACTGCAAAGTTGATTGCATCATTTCTCTTTCAATTTAGGCTGTTGGTCCTTGACTTGTGATTATTAACTCAGAAATGGTTCTCTCAGAGGAGGCTCTGTTGCTGGTGTTATCTTGGCTTCCTTGCGGTGGCCTGTGTCTGGGGAATTTGTTTGGAAAGGAAAAAGTGCATCTCCGTGCTTTTGGCAAATAAAATCAAAACTCTATCTTTCTCCGCTACACTTAACACCCTTTTAACTTCTCTGATCTTTCTAACCCCTCTGGTTTCTGCTTTCTGTGTCATGAAAGTGCATGAACCCATGTTATTGCATCCTGGCACCTCAGCTAAAGGTACAAAGACTTTATCATGGCAACATTTTACTGTTGTCTCTTAACTATTAGAGGAAAGGGGGGAAAATCTATGGCACTTAAATGCCATAGTCTTAGTCTCTTTTATGTGAATATATATTTGGTTTATTTAGAAATATTAACTAATGTTAAATGAGTTAATATTAACTAATTAGTGCCATAGTCTTAGACTCTTTTTAAAAATTTGGAATATGCAACACTTGGTATCTTTATTGTGTCATATATTAATTGTACATCAACTGAAATATTATAATATTAATTGTATTAAGTAATTGAGTATGATCTCCTTGTGCTTTGGTCTAAAAAAAAGGATACAACTGTAAATGACTTGCTAAAATTAAGAATAAGTATTTCTCAGTAGCATCTTGTTTTGCAGCTCTTTACACATAAAGCTGTGATTCTTTCCCTCTGTTGCCATTTTGCACTTTGTAGAAAAATCCATATTAATGTCAGTGGTTTTCTTTGTAATGTTTAATTTTCTAAAATAAAGATTAGTATTAAAGAGAACACTAGGGTTCTTCAAATAATTGGAAAACAAAGAAATCAAACTGAGCTTTGAAAATAATAGAATTTTACAAAAAGAAATATTTTGTTATATTCTATTTGTTCTGATATTATTTGTGCATTTTTATTACTAGTTTTTATTATTTCCTGAGTAATCAAATTTTTATTTGAAAATCTTAAAATAATTTTAGCCCTTCTGCAGTAAGCAAGTGTACATTTCACTAAAATTATCACTAGCCTACACTAAATTCAAAATATATTCACACTGTTCAGCTGAGTTCTTGATAAGTTGACTTTAAATATGCTATACTTGATTTCAATAAAAGTGTTATTCTTTGAATTCTAGGCCTTAGAATATGCATAGCAATTCTCTTTTAGAAAATAATTATGTAACAATTTGAGAAACATCAGAATGGAGTCATAGGAAACGTCTTATTCAGGGGTTGCAAACAGATACAGGTTTTAAGTGAACTTAATTCTTCTGTACAAGAAATGTGTAAAACATGGATGATGCTTGCGCATGGCTGAAGAAATCTGGATGAAGGAAGAGTGAGGAGTGGAGGAGTCCTCTTTGCTCATTAGTGTAGTGTGTACAAGCCGATGAGCTGTCCAGTATGTACAACTCACTAGACACTACATTTGTTTTTAGGTTCAATGGTAAATGGATGGGGCTCTGCATCTGATGAGGACCGTAGCTTTTCTAGTCATAGATCTAGCGTAGGTAGTTCCTCAGATGGCTCCATCTGTGCCAGCGGCAGTTTTGCACAAGCTCTGGCGGCAGCAGCAGATAAAGCTGGTTTTAGGCTGGATGGAACCAGCCTTACAAGAACAGGTTGGTAGACTCTGAGTTAACACGCTTTGCATGAGAGAATCTTTCCCCTGAACACTGAGCTATTGATCTGTCCTCTCTCCTCAGTGCGTCTGAGTGCAGGGCTCTCTCTAATCTGCATGGACCAAGTCTGAATGCTCAGTTATTACCAGAACTCTCTTAGATGCTCCCTCTGCAGAGCCAAGAATAAGCTCCTACTCATCACCTTCCAGGGCTTCCCTGCTAGCTCAGTTGGTAAAGAATCCGCCTGCAATGCAGGAGACCCTCGTTCGATTCCTGGGTCGGGAAGATCCGCTGGAGAAGGCCTAGGCTACCCACTCCACTATTCTTGGGCTTTCTTTGTGGCTCAGCTGGGAAAGAATCCTCCCGCCATGTGGGAAACCTGGATTCCATGCCTGGGTTGGGAAGATTCCCTGGAGAGGGGAAAGGCTACCCACTCCAGTATTCTGGCCTGGAGAATTCCATGGACTCTATAGCCCATGGAGTCACAAAGAGTAGGACACAACTTTCACTTTCACTATAAAGCTGGTTTTAGGCTGGATGGAACCAGCCTTACAAGAACAGGTTGGTAGACTCTGAGTTAACACGCTTTGCATGAGAGAATCTTTCCCCTGCACACTGAGCTATTGATCTGTCCTCTCTCCTCAGTGCGTCTGAGTGCAGGGCTCTCTCTAATCTGCATGGACCAAGTCTGAATGCTCAGTTATTTCCAGAACTCTCTTAGATGCTCCCTCTGCAGAGCCAAGAATAAGCTCCTACTCATCACCTCCCAGGGCTTCCCTGCTAGCTCAGTTGGTAAAGAATCCGCCTGCAATGCAGGAGACCCTCGATCGATTCCTGGGTCGGGAAGATCCGCTGGAGAAGGGCTAGGCTACCCACTCCAGTATTCTCGGGCTTTCCTTGTGGCTCAGCTGGGAAAGAATCCTCCTGCCATGTGGGAAACCTGGATTCCATCCCTGGGTTGGGAAGATCCCCTGGAGAGGGGAAAGGCTACCCACTCCAGTATTCTGGCCTGGAGAATTCCATGAACTCTATAACCCATGGAGTCACAAAGAGTAGGACACAACTTTCACTTTCACTTTTCTTTTCACAGCCTTCCATCCTTTATTTCCCTTTCCCTTCAAAGCTCTACTGATTAACTGGAATCTGCTTCCTTCTTCTATTACAGCCAAGCTGCCGCTAAGATTGCCATTAAATTTTCAATAACTCACACTTTGCAAAATTCTCACACAATCAATAATGTACCCAGTGATTAACATTATTCGGCTTTTATCTCCATTACTTTCCTTTGCCCCATTTCTTTCTGCAAATGCAGTTTCTGGGAAGGCTTTCTCAGCATGGGGAGAATGGGTCTGAGGCTGTCAGTCTAACAGTTCAAATGGCTGATGGTCTTAATAGTTGTTTGGCTGTTAAGATTTTAATCCAATAATTTATTATTTGTTTTAAAGGATGCTAATTAAAAATACACCCACTGCATTTGCCAGTTGAATAAAATGATGATTACTTGTGTATTGTTCTGTAGCACAATTTAATTTGGATTTCTGAAAATAATAAGTAATAATAATATAAAAGACCAATTATGTAGTTTTCCAGGTTTTTTATCATTAAATCAAAAATAAATATGTGATTCACTGTATTAATAGATCAGTAATTTTGTAATCATTTGTTTTACTGAACAAAATAGCTTTGGCATGATCCTATTATTAATACATGACTGTGTGTATGTCTTAAATGCACATAGCAGAAAACTCTGGTATAAGAATTAAACTGAGCTACCTTACAAAGCAAAATAATGAAATGCTACATGCATTTTTGAAATCTTAATAGTATTCAAATAGTAAGGTAAAGATAAATGACTTTGACCCTTCACTAAACTCTCAGGTTATAAAAATGAGTCTTGGGAACTTTCTTTGAATTATACCACCATATAACATACTATCTGAGTGTGCACTAGGTATCTACAAAGTAAGGAAGATTCTCCAGACATTGCAGAGGTTTATTTTTCATATAGCATCTGAACTAAAATATGTTGTACTATAACAGTTATTCAAGTTTTCTCGCTTTATAAGGCCCAAGTGAGAAACTTTATGTTGCCTGAGTGCTTTGTGTGACATAGTTATAAGCAGAGCAGTAAGAAAGTGCAAGTAAACTAATAAATTAGAAGGTATAAGTACGTTTCTTGCATGTATGCTAATAGCTAATAAAGCATTAAGCAGTATCATGTCACATTGACTTAAAATGTAACTACATACAGTAATTTTGAATGAAATTAATACATGCACAAGAAAATAAATATATGTACATAAACCTTCTCATGCCATAATTAAACCCATAAGATGCTGAAAATGTATTAGTTAACCTTTTGCCAGAATATTTTTCCCAACATATTACACTAAGCTACAAGAAAAGGACATAGCACATTTCATTTTTCAGTAAGAATTCAGAGTCTGCTCAGATAGAGTACTATTCATCAGAAAACACCTATTGCACTTTGGTGATTTTACAAGGTGATTTTAACCTGCTATTTATCCTATACTATACACTAATGTTATTGAGTTTCTGCTAAAAGAAGTAGAATTCATTGTGTATGTGTATGGGTGGTAAGGTCAATTTAATATATGTGTCTGAGCAGACCTTTCATGTAAAATTTAAAACGTAATTGCTACAGGACATTTTTCTGTGCTCAAAGAAAGTTCGTAAGATTCCAAGGGTGAAATTTGATTAAACAAGACAGTACATAATTCACTTCAGAAAAAGCTTTCTTAGCTTTAAGGAGTAAAAGCTGCCCAAATTTGCATATATCTATGAAAATGTCGCTAAGATCACCAAGGTTAAATAAAAATATAATCAAGGAATATTGATTGGTGGTGGACTTGTTTCATATTCGTTTGCATTTTTCAGTGGGTAGTATATTGGTTATAAAAACTGGACCAAAAAATGCAAGAGAGCACATTTTTCCTATGGAGATGGACCAGTATTTTATATCTTCAAATGACATCTCCAGGCAGCTTTAGAAGTTAGTCTTAGAGCAGAAATACAAGACAGAATCAGTGCCTTATAATAACGTTCTCTATATCTCATTCCCTTTGTTTACTTTTCAGGCAAAGCCTTTACCTCCTCTCAAAGACCTCGACCAACCAGCCCATTTTCTACTGACAGTAACACCAGTGCAGCCCTGAGTCAAAGTCAGAGGCCTCGGCCCACTAAAAAACACAAGGGCGGGCGAGTGGACCCACAGCCAGCCTTGCCTCACCGCAGGGAAGGGATGACAGATGGTAGGTTTGTTTTCCTCTCTCTGGTCTCCTAACTGAAGAGACATAACAACTGCGAAGTCACTAAAGACACGATGGTAGATCAGGTATCGCCTTGCTTTGTAGCCAGGCTGACCTGGCAGTGTGGTCTTGTTTCAATAAAACACCCCCTTTTCTTTAACAATCTGGATTTACTTCTAATTATCCAACCCCAGGAAATATATGCCATCCTGCTTGACCATGTTGATTTTTCTGCTATTCTGGCAATTTTCCATTAGTGCTTTCTAACGACCATTCCTTTTTAAGATTAAGGAAGAAAACGTAAGTAGCATGTGCAGACGCCATGTTGTTGAATTGTTTTTGAAGCTGAATTAAGATATCTTAGATGCTATTTCACTTTTGAAAAAGACTTTTTGAAAAAGTCTTTTTTTTTTGACAAAGATTTCCAGTTTATGAATTTTTAAATTTCACAAATTTCGGGGCTAAAAATATGTTATAGACCATCTGGTTGATGGGTCAGTAACCTTCTTCTGCGAAGTCCAGATAGTAAATATGTTTGGCTTTAGTCAAGCCAAACAATCTCTATTAAGACTACTTAACATTACCGTTGTAGTGTCCGTGCAGCTATAGATAAATGTAAATGAATGGATATAACTGATTTCCAATAAAACTTCATTGACAAAACAGGCAATGGCTTACTTTGGCCCATAGCTTGCTGGTTTATTTCAATTTTTTCACTTATATACAGCATCCAGTCTTTGAGTATTTGCTTAAATACTGCTAGTTTCAGGAAACAAAATATTATTGGAAGACATCCTTTTTCAGTAAGGAATAGTTCATCAACTCTGTATTCAACTTAATTATCATATGTTTAAATATGGGATAAAAGTGTTTATACTGAAGTTTTATCCTAAGGAATATGTAAGATAACATATGTAAAGAGCCCAGTATAATGTCAGACCCAAAGGTAAATTTCTTCCTCTTTCTCTACACTATCTCCGCTGAGCACACAAACTTTTTCCTGAGATAGCACTACCAAACATCAAAAGAATGAACCTAGCCAGGCTGCACATCAGAACCATCTGGAGAACTCTTAAAATACACCCTGGAGATTTTGATTTAATTGTTCAGGGGTGAAAACCAGTCATGAGTATTTTTAAAGCTCCACTGGAGAACCTAATATGCAGTTAGCTTTGAGAAGCTGTAACTGAGTTCTTGGCACTCATCTCAGTCTCTTAGACCTACCATTATAGGACAGGATGAGGCTTCCTTGGAAAGGAAGTATTTGCTCTTTATTGGTTTGAGGGCAGGTCTTTCACTGGCAGTCTCCATTGTGTTTTCTCTTGTCATTTTTATAATGCTAAGAAGACTTTAAAAGCCCAAAATAACTTGTCTAAAAGCCTTCAGGTTTATTTATCTTTCCTGCTTCCTTTGTTTTCATTGGAAAGTGTTTCTGTGAAATACAAGGGTAAGGGTACAACCAAGATTTTGATTCTTGATACGTGGATATCCTGTGGTGAGCAAAAATGTGCCACCTCCTTTCTGCCGCCAATGATCTGAAGATTAGTTGAGCACTTGAAGCAGTCTATATTGTTGATCTTATTCCTTCTAAATACAAAGGACTACTCACCGATATTCTATTACAAATCTCAGCATTAATAATTTTGTATGATTTTCCTGCTATGAATGTCATGAAGAGAGGGAAATATCCAGGGACTATATGGGTATTTTTGTGACTTTTCCAAAATGTTTGAAGATCATATCCAGAATATGTGGAAGATATAAAACATAAACCAATAAAATAGCTCTTTTCTTTGTCCCTAAAACATTTTCCTTGCAAGCTTTCTTCAGAATGTCTAGTTAAAGTAAGCTAACTCCTAGTTTAAAGCATGATTGATATATTGCTTATATTTCTAAAACACAAATAGGTTCCTAAACTTTCAAATTTACCAGCTTTCCAAAAAAGATTTTGGATTATGTGTCATTAGTAGATACATTCTGAAAGTACTGATATTGCAAAGCATATTTTGGCTAACAAGTGTTTGATCCAAAGACATGTTAGGTATGATAAAGAAGATTTATTTTGGATCTCACTCTACAGGTTATCTTTAAGAATACTGTTATTTTACCACAGATGTTTATGCCATAGTTTTTATATGGTATGAATCCATGCATCAGTAATAAGTTCATATGATTTGTATGTAAAATCAAACTGTTCTTTTGGGGAAGTTTAGTAGCACTTAATGTATAGATGTTTTACAGTAAAATTTTTGCATTATAGATTTTACAGCAGTGTTTATGAATATATTAATCAGGGTAACTATTGATGGCTGCTATATCAGCCTCCATCCCCTCGTGGCTTAGCATGGTAACAGTTTATTTCTCACAGACACAGTGATTTTATAAAGGTCAGGTGGCTCTCCTGGAAGTTGTAGTGTAAAGATGTTTGCTTCTTAAATATTGATACCCCGTTATTTCCAAGATGGGACCTTCCTGGTTTCTGAGTGAGGGAAGATAGAACAGAAGTGATTACCTGGAATGTTCTATAGCTAGTCAGTGACTCAGACGGTAAAGAATCTGCCTGCAATGTGGGAGACCCAGGTTCGAATGCTAGGTTGGGAAGATTCCCCTGGAGAAGGAACTAGCAACCCACTCCAGTATTCTTGCTCGGAGAATCTCATGGACAGAGGAACCTGGTGAACCATGGGTTCGCAAAGAGTTGGGCACAGCTGAGTGACTAGATGAGATGGTGGCTAGTCCCACAGGTGGTACATTCACTCCTTCATGGGCAGGAACTCTGTCACATGGCGTCAGACTATCTTCTGGAGCAGGAATGTTATTATTGTAGGCAGTATCAGTCTCTGTTTCAAGGACTATGCAAAAAGCCACACATATATTAGGAAATGTTCTTCCCCACTGGATAAAGTCTCCCCTAAGTAGGCATTGTTCGGTGCAAATCATCTATTCCATTTGCATAAACCAAAAAATATCCTTTAAAGCGAATCCATTGACCAATGCTAAACAAAGGAGGCAAGAGAGGTCGTTAGTTCTCTGTCAGCCTTTTTTTCCCTAAATCATCACCTTCCAGCCTGTCCTCCCCTCATCCTAATGTCTCTTTAGGGAAAGGGTTCTTTCCCAGCTCTGCCATGGAATAACTTCGACGACTGAGCAAATTAGTCATTATTCTATTCATTAATCTATTCATTCATAAATCTGTTCATTCAAATATTTATTAAGCTCCTACCAAATGACAGGCACAGTGGGAACTATACAGATGAAATTCCCTGGCTTCCTGTAGCTCACATTCTAGTGAGAGAAGATAGATAAAGACAAACATAAATATAAAAGTGAAAAATAAAGGTATACAAGATGGTGGTGTCGTGGAGAAAACAAAACCTAGGAAAGAAGCTGAGAAATATAGACATGGGGAAGATATTTTTAATGTAGAGTGCTCAGGGGAGGCCTTACCAAGAAGATGACATTTGAGAATAGATGAGAAGATTGCGAGAGAAAGAGCAATGCTTATATCTGAGGAAAAGTCATTCCAGGAAATGAGAACAGCAAGTGGAATCCTGAAGTATTTCGTTAAAAGGAAGAGGAACAGTGTGACTGAAGCAGTGTGTGTGCTCACTCAGTTGTATCTGCGGCCCCGTGGACTGTAGGTGAAGCAGATAGAGCCACAAAATAGAGTGTGAAGTCAGACAAGTAAGTGAGGGCCATTTTTCTGAGGACTCTATAAGCCTCTGTGAGGACATTGGCTCTTTACTTTGAGAAAACAGTAATGGTGTGTGCACGCGTGTGTGTGTGTGAGAGAGAGAGAGAGTGTGTGCATAAGGCAGGGGAGTTAAGAGATCTTCCTTAAGTTTTTATTAAAAAACAAATCATTCTGAATGCTATGAGACAGCCTGAATTTGATTCTGTGTGGAATCACACAAAGACTATTATAGGGAATAGGTGGTTGAGATCCACGCCAAGCTAGAATCAGTGGAAGCAACGAGAAATGTTGAATTCTAAATAGGGAAGCAGAGCCCACAGGTTGATGAAATTAATAAAGGTATAAAGCAGGGAGGCCAAAGATTACTCCAGCCTTACGACCAGCTTGTAGTCCTTGAGATGCGGAATATTAGGCAGGAAACATTTTGCGCAAGAAGTTCTAGAGCTCAGTTTCCAGGCGTGAAATTTGAGATGCTTACTAAACATCAAAGCCGAACTCTTCAATATGGATTTACTTAAGATGAATCTGGAGTTCATGGAAGGAGAGACCCAGACTGGAGATATTTGATTTTTTTATGCCTATTTTTCTTACCTAAAAAAGAGTATAGTGATGACACACGTATCACTGGATTGTTGTGCCTGACAATTGCAAATTCTCAATAGGCCAGTAAGGGTCTCTTTGTTGAATTGATTTAGTTGAAATGAATCAACAGAAATGAATAATAAATTTAATTTAAGTAAACATATTTGATTACATTCTTTCATTTTTTCCACAGCCATTCTTAATCTCATCTTTTTTTCCAATTTGTTTATTTCAATGTGCTTTCAATGTTCTTTCATCTTAGACTATACAAACTCCAAGGATATTACTGAATTATGTAGCCATATAATTTCAGGTTAAATTAAATAGTAATCAGAATTTTAGCTAGCATAAGCAGATGCCATTTTGGCCATTTTAAAAATTAAGCTGCTCTGATGGAGAATAAAAATCAATGACGAGATATGTTATTTTAGAAGCAAATGTAATAATTTCCCCCCAACTGGCAGTCTTAAGTCCAATAACTCAAGTAAAATAATTAATTTGCATTTCTAATAATACAAACTGAAGGAAATCAGTATTGAGTATAGAGGAAGCACCAAACTCATTGGTGAATTATTCAACAAACAGATCTCTCAATATTGGATTACCTTTTCATTTTGGAAGAAATGTTCCAATTGCAACTCTGTTCTCCCAGATAGAAACCAAGTTCCCTTCAATAATTAGGAATTCATAATCTAACAAGATGATGTACATAAGAACTGGGAATGCTGCTCCAGTGTAGGAACTCCCCAAGTAGATTCTGAGGATATTTTCATTGTCAGTTCAATGAAGGTCAGTATTAGTTTGCTTATAAAGGAGAATATGAAGCTTCTTAAGAAAATCTTTTAAAGGAGCAACTTAGCCTTCCTTAAAGAAACTATCTTGTGTACACAAGAAATTTATACTTTCTCCTTTTGAATTTCATGAACAATATTATTAGAAACAAGTGCACCATTGCTAAGATGGCATGGGAAATAATTATCTATGTTATATATATTATCTTCTATTAATGATATAAGTATGTATATTGTCCATGATAATGGATCTTGGTGAACAAATAATATAGCTATTGATACTCTAAGGATGAACAAAGTTTGCAACAACATTCCAAAAAAATGGAGGCAATAATCCAAAGGAATGTTAGAATGTTTCAGTTCAGTTCAGTTCAGTCACTCAGTCCTGTCCAAGTCTTTGCCATGAATCGCAGCATGCCAGGCCTCCGTGTCCATCACCAACTCCCGGAGTTTACTCAAACTCATGTCCATCGAGTCAGTGATGCCATCCAACCATCTCATTAGAATGTTTAGAAGATCTCTAAATCTTCAACAAAATAATATTAGTAAAGGACTAGTATAACAGTATACATTATATAATAGAACTATAATACTTAAATATGAAAAAAGCGACTATGATTTCACAATTGAAGACATTTAAAATATAAAAGCATCATGGTCTAAAAAGCTAATAAGAGAAAAATGAAAAAATTAGCTAGGTATTTGAACTTTTAATTTTTTCATATATTTAATGTAAAGGGCTTTTATGAAAAATTATATATTCCACTACATCTCAGTTTTTCATGATGCATTGCCTTCTCTAGCACCATGAAGCATATTCTATCTAAACTCTGATCATTGGTTATTACTTATTAAAATTAATACATTGGAAGATTATAATATATTAGTTGTAACTCATTAGCTAACTCATGAAACGAACAGCCAGAATTGGTTGTCAAGCAGAATGTTAATTGCATTTAATAAATGTTAGCTTAACACTTTGACTGTTGCTGAATGTGCCACATACAGGAATAAGAGCAGTCATATGCTGTGTATGATCCAGTATACAGTTCTTAATTTCCCGAGGGCAACATTTCCTAGGGAGATTGACAGGGCAGCTTTTATTCTTCCCGGGGCCTTTTATTAATACAGCTGCTAAAATTTCTAGTTGTTTTGTGTCCTGGTATTCTGCTTTGGGGAGGTGGCAGTGGACAATGGCTTAAAGATGGAGAAATCATAAACTGTCCTTTACACCTTGAACATCAGCCTCCATGTGCAATTGAAAACACTCACCATGTACAATAGTTGGATAAAATTGGTTGATTTTATTTCAAAGGCACTGTGATCAAAAGATAGCAAATCGATCAATAATATGCATTTCAGATATAAATAACTGACCTTTCCTCTCCAATCTTTATTTTGTATGGGTGATACCTTTAGGAGGGCGATGTTTTTCTTTTTTCTTCATCTTGAATTAAAACCTGTATTTTTTTTATTACATTTTAGTTTATTCTAAACATTATTCAAAATTTTTAGATCTTCCACCACCACCAGATCCCCCTCCAGGTCAGGGTTTAAGGCAGCAGATAGGCTCGAGCCAGCATGCTGGTAACGTGGAAAATTCAACAGAGAGAAAAGGAAGCTCTCTGGAGAGACAGCAAGCATCCACCTTAGAAGACACAAAGAGCTCTTTGGATTGTCCAGCTAAAACGTCCCTAGAGTGGCAGCGGCAAACCCAGGAATGGATAAACTCCACTGAACGCCCAGAAGACATACGGAAAGCCCTCCACAAACAAGGTGTCGGACCAGGTGTGTTCTGCACAGTCCCAAGAAAGTGTGGACTTTGACCTTTTTTTTTCTACCAGGTATTTTGGAAATGCCAGTTGTTTAAGGGCATCTGAAATGCATTTGCCTTGAACCACTAATTGAAGTTGGAATTCACAGCAAATCTCACCTGCGCATCCCTTAAGGCTGAGTCCAGTAGGGGTCCTTCCTCAAGTTAACCTCTGCGTAGGGTCTTTGAGCCCAAGAGACATCTGGGCTTCATCTGTAATGCTCAGGAAACCATTTGATTTTTTTTTTTTTTTTTTTTTCAATTTTTGTTTGTATCGAGTACTTTTAAGACCACTAAACTTCATCTTTAGTATCAATTGAATCTCTGCCTTCAACCAATTTGTCCATTTTGGCTGAAGTAACTAGTCATTTTTAGAGAACTCACTTCAGTCAAATTGGTAAATTAATGGAAATAACAAAGTTGCAAATAAACAGACAATCACAGAATATTCATATTAGAAAAGGTGAAACTGGCACCTGCACTTGCTCCAACTGATTAAATTGATTATTAGCACTTCAATGGGAAATGTTTTTGCTTATAAATCAAGCTTGCTGGAAATGTCACAAAATAAGTTTCATCATTTGCAGTTGGATTTTTTTTTTTTTTTGTGGAGGTACGTTTAACCAGTTATAGAAATCATTTCTGCAACATCTCTTCTTATGTCAGAATTCATTGAGTATTAAAACATACATACACACACACGCTTTGAAAGTTTCCTTACATTCTTTTATTTATTTGGACTCAGTCTGTTCTGGATATGTCCTCTACTCATACATTTTCAATAATTTTATTTTGTCACAACTTGGTGCTTAAAGTTTTAGCTTGAAATATAGTTAGGAAAGAGCCAAAAGGTGATAATATTAATATCTAGATTTAGTGGAGCATTTAGGAAGCTTACATCATTAAGGCTGTAAAAGAAAAATCATGTGATACTTGTCATTAAAGCTATCTAAGAAGAGAAATACTAAATGCAGTTCGCATGGTTTTTAGTCATCTAATCACAGTAATGATATAACTCATCCCTAGAAAGAGACAAGAGACAGAGGGGTGGAGAGGAAGAGAGATGGAGAAAAAATGAAAGAAGAAAGAGAAAAAGAGAGAGAAAAAGCAGTAGTATTTCAAAGTATTAAGTATTTAGTAATGCACATCATGGATTATTTTTAGACAGACGGTACATAAAAAGGATAGGAACATTATTAAAATGAATGAGTTTCTCTTTTTCTTTTAAGGAAATAAACAGCTTTTCAAATAGTGTATTTCTATTCAAAGAAGCAATAGAAATTTAAGAAGCTTAGTTTATTAACTAGCATATAGTTCTTTATCTAAATTGAGAAAATGTTGCCATAATTTAAGACAAAAACCATATTCCTTCCATCTTAATGAAAAAATTAAATTTCAGCCCCATTGAACCCAGAAATTATCCTCAGAAAAGATTTTGTCAAACAATACAGTCATTACATGCAAATCTCTTTTATAATGAATTTAAATTTTGCAAATAATACATGACATTGTATACTTATCCCAAGATCTCTTTTAATTTAATCCTGCCTCAGTTCCTGTTGTAGGAAATGTTGCCTGCACATAGAAATTCCTTTAATATCTGGGTCTTGTTAAATTCTTTTTAATTTTACTAAAGAGTGAAATGATAAAAAAGCCTAGCTTGAGCTTAAAGTTAAATTTGTTTTGCCTCTGTTTAGCTGTTCACCTAAACCCATTGCGTCCCCTTTTTTTCAGAGGAGACGTTGGTGCCCTACAGCAAGCCCAGCTTCCCATCTCCAGGGGGTCACAGCTCATCAGGAACGGCTTCTTCTAAGGGATCCACTGGACCTAGGAAAGCCGATGCTCTGAGGGGAAGCCACCAGCGCAATGCCAGCGACCTTCTTGACATAGGATATATGGGCTCAAATAGTCAAGGACAGTTTACAGGTGAATTATGTAAGTGCCTTAGGGCATTTAAAAGGCTGTGGTGATTGAGAAAGAAAACTGGGAGAATAACCTAAGGGAGAAAAATGTTTTCCTTGACCCTCTTAGAATATCTGACTGGGTCTGAAAACCAAACTGATGAGAGGGATCACCAAGAAAAAGAAGCATACACATTTTATTGAATTTTTACATGAACATGGGAGCCTTCACAGGAGAATGAAGACTCAAAGAAGGGACCAGAGCAGTAAACTTTTTGCTCATTTAGACAAAGAAACAGTAAATGTGTGAGAATTTAAAAAGAGGTTTGGGCTGGGGGTAGTAAAGGGTGAAGAGGTAACCAAGGGTTAGTTTAACAAAATTTTGACAGGAGTATCTTCCTTCCTCTTGGTACAGAGCAGGTATCTGTCACATAGTTTAAGGGAAGGAGGAGGTGGGGGAAGTCAGAGTGCTCTTTATGCTTCTGCTATTTTTTTCAAACTCCCTCACTCTAAGATATTCAGTATGCGAAGGTACCATATTTTGAAGTATGTCCCGAATCCTATCAATAACACTGCCACAGTAAACAAATTTCAAAACTGTGGAAAGCTTGCTTTACGATGAGAAAAAAATAAATTATGATTTTGAGCAGGTTTGGTTATAATAAAGACCACTGCTGTTTCTATCAGTCAAATAAACATTTCTTCTGTCTCAAGCTTGGATTTTTTTTTGTACAAAAATTGTAGAAGTTAGGCAATTAATTTTAATACTTACATGTTAATTAAATATAGTTTTTTGTAGTTTTCTTTGCCTGCTTAACTGAGCACAATAGGGAAATATTTGCCCGTTGGTAGTTTTAAAGAACCTTCTTGGGAATTCCTCATCCCCTAGTCACTTCATTTTTTTATTTTGTACATTTAGGAAGTCAGCCTTGAAAAGTTTGTCATTGATTTTAGTTAATTTGTAGTACTTTGATTACAATAACATATAAATTTCTCTTTTTGATAAAGAACTGGCATTGGTAGTTAATATAATTAAACTACTTTTTAATTATAAAATACTAGAGAAAGAGAGAGGATGTCACGGTTTGTCACACAGTAAAAAGCCTTGAATTCTTTGTGTTCATTGCATCATGAAAGTTACCAATTTCACTAACCAGTGTCAGAATTATATTTTCAACTGCTTGCTTGAATTCAGTTTATCTGAAGGAATAGCCCTGAATTCCAGTCTTCTCAACCTTCTCTGGTTACGTGAGAAAAGAAAGTAAACTGCCTTCCTGACTCTCTATGCCCTGTCTAAAGCATTGCATTACTCATATGTTCACATTACTCTGATGCTCAGACTGGGGAATGCCATGAGATAATGAAAGCTGAAAGTACTTTCAAAACTGTAAATTTCTTTAATTTTAATTAAGAGGAGTTATTATTGTTACCTATTACTAATCTGATTATAATTAAGATGTATTTATCATTTTAATTTGATTCAGGACTACTTGGATTTTACTGTAACTATTATATGGGAGTAATTATAGGCTCATAAGAAATATAAAAATGATTTATTTGGATGTTAAGTCTTGAAATTTTACAACGTTCTTTGTCTTTCCTTTTCCATAAGCAAAAAATTTTAAATTCACAACCTCACAAAATCCAAGATGTCGTCTTCATCTATTATCTGTTTGCCTTGCTTTTTGTTATGCTGATCAAGATACAGAATACTTAGTTTAAATGCAAACTTATTTCTGTTTTTTTTTTTTTAATCTCTTCACAGAGTAACTGAGAGGAGACATGCAAAGCTGCTCTGAAAGACCATCAGGTCTGAACTCATGGAAGTGATAACACTAATAATCAGTGCAATGAACAATTTCTTTATTTATGTACTATTAAAAGAACTGTAAATGCAATGTAAAGACACACAGCCACACATATCCCACAGATATTTTACTTGTGTTCTTCTCTTAAGTACACCACCCACCTTAACTCTTTCTTGTCAGGAGTATATAAAAAAGAAAGAAAACAAAGCTCGCCCTCCAGGAAGAAAAGGATTTTCCTCTGTATATAATTTCTTTTGTGCATTGCTATGCAAGCTCACTCTTTTTAGCTCTGTTCATATTATTGTCTGTTCTTATTGGTCTGTTGTACTATATGTGAATTAATAGGCTGTGGTGCCATATATTAACTTTTAATTGTGTAACTTTTATGTTTAAATTTTGCACTGCAATTTTATTTGGTGATAAGCACAAATCTCTACTCCTCGTGACATGAAGAAAAAGACTGAATGTGAAGGGAGTTTCTGTACTGTAAGCTAGGATGGATAATGCTGGTTGTAACCAATGACATGAGGGGGGTTTCAGTTGGGGTGTAGAAATAGAAAGATGCAAAGGAACAGTGATGTTGGCTAAGTCTTCTTTGAACATCAGGGACTGAGTCAATAATAAAAAAAAAGAAAAAAAGAAAAGAAAAGCAGTTACGTGGCTTTTACTATTGATAAGAACAGGGGTCAAAAGAAGGAAGTTGAAGTCCTAAAACTGAATAGGCATTAAAATATACAGGTAGCAATGATGTACTAAACTTGCTTTTTCAAAAAGGAAATTAAAGTTATGTTTAGAAACAACTTTACCTGTCACTGTAATTGACCTGTCTCAGAATTACAACAAGCAAAAGGAAATTAGTGTGTTTCAGAAGAGCTGTATTTATATTACAGTTTTTTAAAAAAGCATTGTCTGAATTACCATAACTAATCTCTCCAACTCATTAAGTCAGAATATAATATGAAGTTCCCCAAGGAAACAAATAAAATGAACTCTAGAATATCTAGCAAATAGTTAAAGAGGCAATTTATTATTAGGACATACTCGGGCTGCTTCCAAATACAAAAACTCTATTGCAATATCTTGTTTCATCTTTCTAATACATGTACAGTACATGCTAGAGGATAGAGCTGCATCACTTCAATTCATTACTTTTTAAAAAATAATGCAGTCTATTTGCAACTTTGTGTTTCGTTTGATTAAGAAGTGAAGTTTATGCCACCAAATGTATAGCCAAATTGTAAGTGCTTAAAAAGCAGTGTTCAGAGTATGTTCAGTTCACAGTAAGTAGATTTATTGGAATAAATCTTTTATGGTTCATTCTCAGAAATTGGCTACCAACTAAAAAATGTTTGACCCATTTTGAATGAGTAAATCGAAAAGAATAATTTTAAAGAAGAACAATGCATGTTTATACACTTTTTAAATAAAACCAAACCTCATAAGTGGACATTAATAACAGTGTCCTGCCTCATTTGTTTTCACGACTTTGAGAACCAGAAGTTCCTGAACATCAATCATGTATCCTTCAAATGAATATGACTTTGAAATATATATTAGCTACTGTACATGTATAGTCAATCAGTCAAGTAGAAGAGAAATTTCCTGAAATTCCCACTTGTGACATTTTTCCATGTGCTACCTACACAATTGTAAATTATATTTCTAGTTATGCTTTCTCATGTTTGTCCTATGATATGTTCAGTAGTTGGTACTTTGAAAGATATTCACTATGATGGTTAAGATCAATTCTAAAATATGGGACCAGTTTGAATGGGAATTCATACTCTGTGCATTATTGGCTCAGTCACCAACTGTGTATCATACTGTTATAGCAAAGGGAGGAACCTAGTTAAATGTTTCCATCTTTTTTGTTCCCTAAGGCTGCATCAACACAGGCAAGAGTAGCGGAACATCATATTCTTTATGGGCCCCTTACATCTTCTTGGTCCCATGTAGTTCATTTCTACACTGAAGAGAAAAAGAATTCTGGGACACACTTACTATTCCCTTTGTCATTTTCTACCATCAGTGCCTGAATTTTAATGCAGCTTGATTTCTCTGGGACAGAGAGACTGGGGATGCTGAGAAGTTTCTGTGAAGAATGAATACATACCTATATGCAACTGTAGGATGTGAAGAATTTAGTTTTTTATTTATGCCGTCCCCTACTTCATCTCTTTCTCTTTAAATGCAAAGTTTTGTTCATTTTTTGGTTCCTTCTTTATGCTTCATGCTCCTCTATAACCCAAGTTAGCCTGAACCTTTAATTCATTACAGATACTACACATAGACTTTTACCCCTGGTAACTGGCAGTATATGTGGGTAATAAACAAAGAGTTCAAAACAGAGTATGTGTATGTGACTTCTGGAGTAATCCAGGGCATGGTCTCATACCTTCAGTTCATAAAAATTAACTGTTTTGGTTAGAGTAAGTCAGGCCTTATGATTACTTGGAATGTTCTTTTACAATAGGTCACATTCACTGTTAAGTCTAGTTTTAGATTAATTGGCTAATATTGCATCCAAAATATTCTCCTCCTGTAGATGTAAAGCAAGAAAAAATACTGTGGCCACCCACATGAATTCAGGAAGACTACCAAAAATCAAAGCCTTTGTCACCTTGCTATATGTAAAAAACTTCCAGTAAGTGTAAATCAGAATGTCATGAGAGCTACCATGAATTTTTTCAATTGGAAGCCAGTGAAATGATTGGAAATTCACAGAGCCCACTCTTGTGCAGGTCTAAACAGGGGCCTGCCTAAGCTGTCAGAAGGAAGTCTAGGTAGGAGAATGTAATCTCATCTTGCCCTCACAGGCAACGCTGCTGTGTCGTCATGCCCCCCAGGAGAATAGTTCCATTCTTAACACGCATAGTCTGCAGTGGGGACAGCGGCCGAATTAGTATCCAACTCCTGTATGCCTCAGTGTACGCAAGCAGAGTGGCCCTACCCATTCTCCAATTCTCCCCCAGGCCGAATTTAAAGTACGGGGATATGAAAACAGCTGATTTCTTCTTCACAGGATTTGAATCCAGTTCAATGGTGAATATAGGAAAACCAAGACCAGCATTTACAATAACCTGTAATCAAAGGGAAGTAAAAATATTGCAAATTGATTTTCTCTGGGTAACAAGACATTAAATGGTGTTCTATGTCATAGCCTAATGCTCTATTTAAATATACTTTCAATGGGTTTTGAGTTGAAAGTTTGTATGAGTTTAATAGAACACCTCCAGATTTCTATCCAACAGTTATGTAATTGCCCGTTGACAACTTAATTATAATACGAAGGAGCTCTAAATTATGGTTTATCTTCTCCACTGGAAAGTGATTGTGTGTCAGTATTAAAGATATGCAGAACCATAACATTCACTAATTTGTTCATCTGCTTCTGTATACTGTATTTATAGAATTACTTGACAAGAATTGGTGTAAAGCAACATGTCTTTCCACATTATCTTATAGGTAAAGTTAACTTTTCTTTTGTTTCTCTATGATATGTACTTCAAATGAAACACCATACTTTTTTAATGAAGTTCAATTTACTAATTTTTCTGATCTCATACTTTTCAAAAGCATTTATTGTGACTTTAAAGTGTTGCAAGATAAGGGATTTTGTGGCCGTGGGTAGACTTTTTATACTTTGTTTTATAGATGGATTTTTTTTAATTGTAGTTTGTTTAAGTCACCAAACAGCGTCCAAAATCTTAATGTGTTTCATTTGATGTTGTTAGATCAGAAAAGAAATTGGCATAAAATTGGTTAATAGTATTGTCAAAGAATTGTGTATTGTGTACTCACTGGGAAAAAAAATAAAATATATTCACATTTCAAATTTGTAAAAAAGCCATTTATGTAAAACAGACTTGCTTGCTTTGATTTGTAGACAAATCAAAAACAGACCATTTTGTCACTTTTAGAATTCTACATTAATATTTTATGACCAAATGCATAATCTCATTTTCTCATTTGGTTATAGATTGGGTGGTGATTAATAGAAATTGGTGTTGATGTATAGCAAGTGACTAAAAGTCACTGATGAAGAATGTTAAAAGCATTTGAAATTATAGATCCCACTCTATGAGTGCTACTTTAGGGAGCTGATCTTCCCCACCCCATGAAATCCTTCAGGTAGATACAATATAAAGTTTTTGGCTGCAAAAGTACATAACAAATTATTTTTAATATTTAATTATTTTATTAAATAATTACTTTTTAAATATAATTAAGTGTGAGAATTGGAAGAAAATGGGTATTTCTTAATTGCTTTCTAGTAATTCATGAAATATTTTTTAAGATGATGGATGTCGAACAGTTATCTTAGGGATTGGGTAGAAAAGAAAAATTCTCTTAATCTATTGTACTTCGTAAATACTTCATTCTTTTTCACTAAGTGCAATTACAGGATCAGATGCTCTCTAAAACTAAAAAAAACTTTTGAGTTCTTTAATAATCTTAGTAATAGGAAAATTAAAAATGGAAAACCTTAATTCATTTAAAAATANTAATCTTAGTAATAGGAAAATTAAAAATGGAAAACCTTAATTCATTTAAAAATATTAAAAATATCCATGGGAAGTGGACAACAGATTTCAGAGATCCATTAATTTAGGTTAACAATAAGATTATAAATAGTATTAAAATAATTACAAAGAATATTACATCAATAGCAATGTATATGTGGATAAAGACAAAATATATCAGTTACCATTATGAAAGTGGTGGTGCTATACTCAATTGCGTCTGACTCTTTGTGACCTATGGACTGCCAGGCTCCTGTGTCCATGGGATTCTCCAGACAAGAATATTGGAGTGGGTTGCCATGCCCTCTTCCAGGGGATCTTCCCTACCCAGGAATCAAACCCATGTCTCCAGGGTCTCTATATTTCAGGCAGGTTCTTTACCCACTGAGGCACCTACAGAACAATCATTGCTCTGTTGAATCTGAGTATGCCATGGAAGCTCCTACACATGGCAGAAGTGAAAAGTTACCAGAAAGATTTATTAAAGTAATACACTGTCCTCTCAATTATTGTACATGAGCTAGAGAAAAGGTATATTAGTGGTACACATTTAAACAAGTAATATTTAATGCCCTCAACTTGTGAAAATGTATTTTATCTCTTTTGAAGAAGAAATCAGCAGGGTTCATGCTAAATTTCACTTCATAGCAGAGATGTGAAACAAAACTGCAGTAATAGAAAACTGTCACAAGAATTCAAAAGAAAAGGCTTGTACAAATACTTGTTAAGGGTGGTGCCCGCAGGGGCAAGGGCAAGGTGGGGGATGTGGGTGTGTGCTCTGTCCTGTCCAGATCTTTGCAGCTCTGATTTCTGTATAGCCCGCCAGGCTCCTGTCCATGGAATTTTGCAGGCAAGAATAGGGGAGTGGGTTGCCATTTCCTACTCTGGGGGATTTTCCTGACTCGGGGATCAAACCTGCATCTCTTGCATCAGATTCTTTACTGCTGTACCACCTGGGGAGCCAAGGGTGGGCTCGCAGGATTTCGAGGATTCTTTAACCTGAATGAACTTAGCATCTGGTTTTGGCCTTCACCCTCAGAAGGAGTTTTCTTCAGTCCCAGGGAAAGGAATCTGATACATGAAAGTGTTGCAAAGCTGTCAGGAATCCCAGTGACAGGTGAAGAACATCTGTATGACTGTGCATTTAATTTATAAAGAACTACAAGCGTGAATTCCTTTGCAGCTTCTAGTTAACACATTTTTTCCTTCCAGCTGTCAGTCAGTCAGTTCAGTCGCTCAGTCGTGTCCAACTCTTTGCGACCCCATGAATCGCAGCACGCCAGGCTTCCCTGTCCATCACCAATTCCCGGAGTCTACCCANTGTCGCTAAAAAAAAAATGCCTTGGTGGATACAGCTTCTAGGCAATAGACAACATTTTTTTGGTCAGTTTTTTTCTTAGATGATGTTTTTCTAGACAACCGCTATGAATGATTTGTTTCTGACAAAGTAGTTTTTGCGGGGTTTTTTTTTGAGGGGGGGGTAGTTATTTTTTGTTTGTTTTTGCCCTTGTTTCCTTACTGCTTCCTTGTGCAAGCAAGCATTGAGATATTATGCTAAGAATTAAATATTCAGAGTAATTAAAACAGAAATAGCTTTTGCCTGCATAAATAGATGAGTATGTCCTATGAAGTCTGCCCTTGATCTCTAGAAAAGTAACTTTTTGATGAATGTTTTTGAACTAAAGGGAAAGAGACACTAAGCTAGGCTTTCCAAAAAATTCATAAGCAATACAATTTGTATTAGCTTCATTAACCTCCCCCTGGCCCCGTCACTTTATCCAGTATTCTAGTTTTCCTCAAAATAGTGTATGAAATTTTCATAGGTATTTATAAAATAAAGAAGAAGAAGAGAGATAAAAGAGTGAAAACTCTATGGTTGAATATGTGCAGATTTCCTTACTACTAGACTCCTTTTCAAATCTGTTCAAGG